AGAGAGAGAGAGAGAGAGAGAGAGAGAGAGAGAGAGAGAGAGCCAATAGGCCTACCGGAGATCGTTGTTGTTAGCTTCTGGTGCTAGCGAGCTACGCTAACGGATATAAGGAGCTTTTTCAACAACAAAGTAGGCTACTGCTGGTGAATGCGCCTTTTGAGGAGAGTCCTCTCCTGTCGGACTGAGAGGCTCAGTGAACTAAAGGACTCTTGAGTGTTTAGATAGTTAACTTAAGTCTAAGTTATCTCAGTGGGTCTCAAACGTTTGATGTAAACAATTATTTCCGAGGCACACGTTTATATGATCATTATAGTTATAAACAAATAAGAGAATAAATGAAAAACAGGTATGAAATACTATATGACAGTAAAAAAAGAATAAAGTTTAAAATGGTGATTTGTAAAATATCCATAAAGAAAAAGTAAATCTGTTTACAGTTCTTCTGTTTCATATAGGTGTTGAGATGTATCCATAGATCTCTTCATTTTGCTCTCAAAGCGCACCAGATTGATGCTTTTAACTTCAATATTTATTTAATATAGCAGCATGCCCCCAGACCCCCTTATGTTAGGCCCACTCCCCACTTATAAAAATAGCACTTTAACCCTGCTTACACCTATATGCCGTGAGCTGATTATCGAGCCTTCATTGTAACAGTGGCGGGTACACTGTGTATTTGCGTGGGGATTGTTGCCGTAGAAAATTCCACTGTAGCGACCGGTACATTAATGGGAAACCCTAAATGTTTGAGCACCCTCTATGAAACGTCAAGCTACCCCACAGGGTAGGGCCTGACAGAAAAAGTTTGAGAACCACTGCTTTAATGTCACTGAGCAGCAGCCGGGGCAATAATAAACCCGATCACAGCTCATGTGGACACAGAGCATAGCTGTGTGTGTGTGTATAGTCAGATGCTAGTAATTTTCCACTCCTTTGTTAGAAGGATGGTCCCATGCCTCACTAAGTAAGATCCATACACGCTTCACAGACAATTCTATTAATAAGTAAACCAAAACAGTTTAGAGCCGTCAGTGTTGTAATATTACAGAACAATGATTTCACATCTCATAACTACTGTTTGTTTACATTTTGAGGACCACCCTCAAAGCATTGTTTTCTATCATAGTGAAACTATAGAGTATTCTGAAATGAGACAGGGGCAAGTATTTATTCTATACAGTTAAATTCAATGTGAAGTATTTAGTATGAAAAAAGGAATGGGAAAGCTTCCCGTTACTCTTGTTTACAGAGTGGTGCAGTAAACGCGTATTTTTGTAGGCCGACCACGAAGTTAGCATCGTGAGGGCTCCTTCGACAAAAAGTCAATTGGAATTTTCCATTGGATTTTGGGATATTTAAGATAAGATCTATGTTAAACACACATTTATAATACATACACGTTTTGTTGAGCAGGATAATCTCCACATATTAACACCACTTAAATTATTTTTTGGAGTTATGCAATGGCAAGGTAAAAAGTTAACGTTATGCTATTAACAAACTACATCATGGTCGCATGACCTGACATCACCGCTAAACTAAGGTGGCTAATATTAGTCGTGATGACGTTAACTAGTCTTATAACTTGGTAGCAACCTCCTTTTTAAAGACACCTAAAAGCAGCAGACGTTCACAAAAGCTAAACTAAATACAGACTCGTGTCTGGCGTGATGAGTTTAGTAATCTGCTCATCTTATGTAGACACTGTTGAGCCACTGCCATTTTTGGGACATGTGCATTTTCAAACATTCACCAATGGTGAATTTACAAACCGTTACTAACTAATTTTATATTGTAAAGGAAAAGGCAAAAATCTCATCTGTTTGTGTTTACCACAGACCGTATTACCAAAAACGAATAGAAAAACCCATTGACTTTCAGACCAGGGAACCCTGATGTGCTAAAATGCTAACTCATTTCGGGACTCATTCCTGGAATACAGTATTTACAGGAGCTACATGTTCTCATGTATGAGGATTCCAGGGAAAGGATCAAAGTAGAGGTCTTCAGGATACACATTATTTTATCAAAAAAGCTTTTATTGAAACAAACCCTCAAAGAAAAATTACCTTTATACATTCATATATATTTGATTTATTTAACGATTCATACTGCAACTCACTGAGGCAGGACTGTGTTTTTCCAAACACCATGGTAACGTAATGCAACCCCCGGTAAGGATATACATAACGAAGCACTTCAGCCCCTTCATATTTCAGCAGGAAACTATAAAAACAAAGTGGAAATGAAAACTTTTGGCATTAGCACCGACTGTCGGAGAACGTATTGCCAAAAGGATTGACGGCTGATGTGCAGCCACTTCACAACAGAAACACAGGAAAAAACAAAAGGCTCACTTTCCCTTCTTCACATCTCACAACGTGAAAGTGACAATCAAGAAACAGAAGACTCTTAGAATACTGTATCTCCAAAAAGCGTCATTGTGGATTATCATGTGAATACATCTCCATCTAGAGTGAACATGAAGCTCTAACACCAGATAGCCGAGTTTAAATTAATTTCAGGGTCGCTAAAATGTCTTATTGTAACTTCAACATAAAGTGACACATCCACTGCCACTGTGTCCAATCTGTAAGGAAATGTAATAGCTCTCTGGGCTAGAACAGTAAGACGTGTAACCATTTGTTGACTCTTTCACATTTATAAGGTTGACAAAGGCCAAAAAAAAAAGATTACAAAAATGGATATAAATGGCAAAGTGGGGAAACAAACACTTAAGACTTGTTTATAGACATTTTCATATACACACACGAAACTCTGAGAACAGGGAGGGGGGGCACGAACACTTAAATAAATTCAAGCATACTATTGCCATTTATCTCGCCAGACTGAGAAAGGTTTGGGGGCAGACTGCACCTACATCATGTGGTTGGACCAATTTTTTCTGTGCAATTTACGGAGGTTTTGTTGACAGCCAGTTAGCGTGGTTTGGTAGCTTGCAGGATTGTAAGATCCCGCGTGGAGATTTTTGTAAACAATGTTATGTTTACACTGAGGGTTTCTCACTTCAACACAATGCTTGTAGGCCTGGGGCCAGCGCATGTTGAATGCCTTCCTTCCTCGTTAATCTTTAGCAGAAGCCATTTGCTGCCTGAACCATCTTCACTGCTACATTTTTCTCTTTGCATTCCCACCACCAACAATCATAATGGAATGATAGTTGGTGAACTGTTCAGAAACAGTAGATTCCCTAAGGCTGTCACACAATGATCGAAAGGAACGAAGACAATTCAACTTTCTATGGTGCTTCTCTGGTAAACCGACCAATGAAATGGTGCCTTTCCCCCGACCGATACAAGATTTGCGAAGCCAATACAGATATTTCAAAGACATATCTCCACTTCAGTTCCTTGTCATTCACTGGCTGAAATGTTTCGGGGAGGGAACAATAACTGCTTGGCTCTGTTCTTTTCTTATGCCATGGTGATAATGTAAAGATACTTTACAGTTCACACATGTAGTATTGGCCTTTTGAAATCTTGCATCTTTAAAAAAAAAAAATCCCACGTCTCATCCCTTTCGCTGACCCACCTGCAAACAGCACTTGCATGAAATGCAACGCCCCATTCAAGTTGAAGTTGGGTTACTGAACCTGGCTTGAGGCAGCTGGAAGAGGGGCTGCACACAGGCATGTAACGGGGACAGGAGGCCCTGGAAAATGTTAACCTAACCGGTATGGATGGTGTGCTTGCTACTGAAGAACTTACGAAAATAAATATTTACAGAACACGATATCCTGCTATGAGTGAGTGGGGGGGGGGGTCTCAGCTCAGTATCTTTCTCTCTGTCCTGATTGCATTTGTTCAACAAAGTTGTATGAAAAAAGGTTTTCCAGGAAGTATTTTGTTGGTTTTCAAGCATGATGCTGCAGCGACAGGGGCAGTTGGGTCAGCTGGTGGTCCTGGGTAGGGGTGGGGGGTTAAATGATTTTGTAGGTCAGGTAGTCGCGGAGCGGTGTAGGAATGGCCAGCGTCTCCACTTGCTGGGTGGTAGTCAACCGGCGGATAGACATTCTACACATGTGCTGCAGACTGGCAACGCTACGAGGACACTCCCAGAAGAGCACACTACTGCCACGAGTCCTAAAAGCAAACAAAAAAACAAGGAAAACAGGTTGAGGGTCAGGGCACTGATGCATCATAACCGCACTGGGGCTCCATTCCAAAACTGGCCCCTACCCCCCCCCTAACATCTGTCCTGATTAACCACCTGCCCTACGCTGTTTTATGTCCTTCCTGAAACACGCAGTGTACAAATAGTTCAGTGCAAACATTCACTTGTCAACAGCGCAAAATAAGGTAGAATGGTAGGAGTTTGAGGTCTTTAAGATTACATTGTAATTTACGATTATATATACCCAAGTCTAGTCTAGAAAACAGTAGATGACGTGTTCATTTGATTGTAAGGTTTATTATATTTACAGTGATTCTTGCTATAACCAAGCAGCTCATAAATATCGGATCTAAAAAAAAAGGCTGTTTTGTGTTAGAATTGGTTGGAGCAATGCTGATTTTAAAACATCTTTACGGAAAGTTGCGACAGTTCTTGTTTCTGACGAAGAGAGGGAATTTTGTTCTGAAGCTTGCTGCTGTATTTACACCCTCCACAAAGGAGCCTCATTCAGCTGGATGTATGACTACACACAGTTTAGTCATGGAGTGGGAGGTGGTAGGGGTCGGTTTGGAATAGGGCCAGTGATTTTAGCAAATCTAAAAACAGCAGAGAATGCATGGTGCCTGCCAATGATGCCAGCAAGCGGTGATAAAAGACGGGAAACTGGTTCCTCTGCAGAAGTCAATAAGGTGTGACTGACGTGTGTGTGTAGGGTGGAGTGACAGAGCCTTACCCAGTAGCAAGGACACTTCCTTCAGCGGAGAAGGCACAGCAGAGGCCGTTAGAGAGGGAGCCGATGGCCTGAGGGGCTTTCTCCTCGATGCTCCAGAAACGCACCATTCTGAGCAGAGACAGAAAACACACTGCTGTCACATTCCAGCACAAACACTGGAAACTTGATGTTAAAGCAATATTTTGACATTTAAAATTGAATTTAAACATAATTATAAACTTTGAATTATATATATTCCTTGTGTTTTAATGATTTGACCCGGCAATGAACTCTCATTGACGGGCTTGCAGTACATTCCATAAATAACTTGATTATTGCCAGTGAAAGACTGTTTTCCCATCTGGGAGGTACTTTCACTTGACCTTCCTTTTAGATAAGAAATGCCAGTAGAAGAGTCAGTGTGCCTGGCAGCCCTGTTCCCACTCAGCTGCAATTATGACTAATCCTCAGAATAAAAAAAGGAAAATAAATATCACCTTATTCATGTGGTCTTAATTCCCTTCCGTAGATTCCGAATAATTAGTGCGAATGCTGTTTACAGCATTCCACTATAGTACTTCAAATCTTTATTCTTCCCCTTATTATTAGTGTGATTGCTGTTTACAGCATTCCACTATAGTAGTTCAAATCTTTATTCTTCCCCTTATTATTAGTGTGAATGCTGTTTACAGCATTCCACTATAGTTCTTCGAATCTTTATTCTTCTTATTTCAGCCAATACTTTGGCTCTCCATAACTTCAGCTTATTTTCAGCTACAGAAACCATTCAAATATTAAACTATTCAGCCTGTTCAGGAATCGATGGGAAACCTTCAACTTTTTAAAAATATTTTATACTTTTTGAAATATTCAGCTTTTTAAACTCTTTTTTTAACATTGAAGTCAATGGGAGATGCCTTCAAATCCTCTTTTCCTACACCTTGCGCCAAATGCTACTCCTTCCACATACTTTCAGCTAGACACTTCATTCCAACTTTCAAAGGATCACAGGACCTTCAGCTATTCAATTATTATTCAGATTTGTTGATATCTTGTACACTTCTTGAGATATTGAACTTAGTTTGGAGCTTAGTAGAGAGGCCTTTTTCAGATTTTAACATTAGAGTGGATGGAGCAGCTCGTTAACTCTAGAGTGCTTTGATCTCAAAACAGAGTGCAGGAGTGCTTGAAATTCTCCCCAAAAAATGTTTTAAACTTGTCATAATTTCCAAACCCTACACTCCTCAGACATATTTTTTCATGAAAATGTAGGAAAACCTCTCCTAGGTTGGAAAATAAAAATAAATGCCTCTTGAGGGCATGAAGAGAGAAAAAAGTCCAGTCCAATTGTTCCGGATCTTTCTTCAGAGCAGAGAGAAGTACACTTTAGATAAACTGCTCCCATCTCAACATTTGACACACAAAACCCAAAGAAAAACACATTTCAGTTCGTTGGGGTTCCCTGATGATCACGGTCTGGTAATTTTGTTATAGGAGCCATAGTTTTTGAACAGGTGGCAAAATTGTCAGATATACTCCTCAATGCATTCTTATAGGACTCAGTACTGCAGTTGGTTGTCATGGTGTTGCTGGGAAGAATGGAGCCACTCACTCACTCACACACACACACACACACACACACACACACACACACACACACACACACACACACACACACACACACACACAC